TCTGAGCAGGGTATTGCTGTCGCCAGCATAAAGATGGTGCCACAGTAGATGGTTATGTCTATTCTGTTTTAAAGAGTAGAGGTTTCTAGTGAGAAAACAAGACAGCAGAATCGTTTGTTTTGGTTTGGGTATTTTCTTTTCATAACCCACTGGCAACTGCAAATATTAACTGTCAGAATATGCCACAATATTTAATTTAATTTAAACCCAGACTTATTTATGCAGTAGCTAAGACAGTATTTGCTGAGTTTGACATTAGCTTCCTAACTTTTCCCTAATACTGACTCTCAGTGCTGTTTTGGGGGGGACTGTCACAAAGGGAGTTTCAATGAGTTGTCATCCCTGCTGCCCCCAGTAGGAGAAGTGGAAGAGTGAGTGCTAGTAATGCCATTGATTTTATGGAGTGGAAACATCTTTATTCACAAAGTGAACTGTGATCATAAATTTTAGGCAGCGTTGATGGGGTAGATGAGCTGAGTTAGTGACCTGAGGGTAGAAAGCACAGCACACTTCTAGCTATCTAATACCCAACTGAACTTGATTTTTAGACAATGAAAATTTTATTGTTATTTAAGCTATGAGCTCTTACTTTTGGCTTTTAAAAAATTTTTCAGTGACTGTCTTATGTTTTATTTTCCTGCTTCTCCTGTGTTACAGTTTTTTGTATTTCCGAGATCCATTATGAGGGGCAGGATTGTCTTCCATTGAAGAATTATCTACTAGCCAATGTTGAAAGAAGGATATAGGATTTCATGGACCAGTGAACTAATACGATGTGAAATCCTATTTTCCTATCTTCTAAGTGTCTACAGAATTCCAAGTTAATGTACTTTATATTATATGGTTGCCACCTGTTTATATTATCAGTAGTTTGAATATTTAAATATTAGACACTCCATTTCTCACTCCAATTTGTCTGTATTTCAAGAATGGTTTCTCCTAGTGTTTCCATATTTAATTTTGCTCTTTTTTCTCTCCAAAATAACTATTGTGGCCTAGCATAATTACATTTAAATTTTCATTAAAAAATTATATAGTTCACAGCACAGATTTAATTGATCACACTCTTACCTGGTGTAAATCAACACAACAACATTAATTCTAACAAGATTTTTCACCAGCTGAGGATCTGCTTCCATGTATTTTTATGTTATTCTCAAAGCCCAGAAGAGCTCATCTTCAGAAACTATCTGTAAAGCTGGTTCACTTTTAACAGTTCAAAATCTCATTTCATTATCATATGTATGTTTGAGAAACATCATAAATCTCATGTAAACAACCTATAGTTTTAGTGCATATATTTAAATATATGATGATGCAAAGGTCTGTTGCATGCTGGTGCACAGACGTGTGGGTGGGTGTAAACACATCAACTTATGAGGGGTCGCTGGATCATTTCTGCATCTGGACTAATAAATGGCAACTGCAGTTAATGGAGAACAATGAATCTTGGAACAAAGGGAAAAAATAGCGCATCTGCTAAAAGGAAAGATGTGTCGAATACTGATTAGGAAGGAGATCTGGGAGTTGCTGTAGAAAATCTCTAAAGCATTCAGCTTAATGTGCAACTGCAGTGAAAAGGGCAAGCAGAATGCTGGCTTGTATTGCTAGAGGAAGGCAATATAAATCAAAGCAGCTGGCTTTGTTACTATCAGGCATTGTTTTTGACATCACCCAAGAACTGATCTTTAGTTGCTATTGGCCGCTACGGCTTCAGAAGAATGTGTTTTTTACTGGAGGGGGTTTTCTGTATACTGAACTAAATTACCATCTTCTGCATTTTAAGATAACACAGAGGAAGAAACAGAAAAAAAACCAGCTCATTAAGAAGTAAAGCATATACTCTGATTGGTGCAGTCTTTTATTGTCAGCAAAGAGCAGTCGACAACTTGACCTGAGTTTCAGTTTCAGAAAAAAGGATGTAGCGATATTACTTAAAACATGGTGAATTCAGATTAAAATGTATGTTTTGTTGAAAATCTCATTTCATGACGGCTCTAAACTGATGTGAGTTATCACTACAAAGACAACAAATGATAGAGAAAAATGTAACTGCTGGTGAATGAAAAGCACAGGCATAATGAGCTCAGTGCTCTTATCTGCTTACAAACATTTGAATTCTGTTATGTTTTAATTTTACAAGATTCCCTCAAAGACTGAAGGAGCTGTTATACAAAACTTATAGCAGAACCCATTGCAGCTTTTATGGGCTGCTCTCTGTCAGCATTGCCATCACAGTTCCTTGTATACAGGAGTTGATGATTCAGCCATAAGTAAGCTCTGCTAGTTGGAAATGTGCTATGCAAAATTCTACAGTCACAGAGTCTATAAAAAGTCATGTGAAGGAAGTGTTTTAAACAACAATGGAAATTTGCCACTTCTATTACATTCAATGAGAATATCTGAATCTATCAAAACATTTTCATTGGATTTGAAAAAAGATCTAGAACATTTACATACTTTTCCTCTTTATACGCTTGGATCTTGAAGTCCCTCTCACTGATTGTTAAAAACGACTACTCTAACTTCCTGATTCAGTGGGGAAAGTTTTCTATTGTGCAGGAGTGGACAGTATAAAATACCAGCTGGTTCAACTGGGACAAAGTCCACCATTGTTGTCCTGAGGGCCATAAGCAGAAGCTCATTCAGTTCCCAAACTTCATTCCATTCTGATCTGAAATTAATTCAGAAGTAGTATTTTCAGACTCTGAATACCTGTAAGATTAAGCCAGGTGAATACAATTAAGAAAGATGGTTTGTTATCTTTCCTATTACCTGTGTTGTGCTCAGGAGGGGTGATGTTCACCTTCTCTGTTATGCCTGTGAGAACATGATACAAACGGATAATTAAGCTCTAATTTTGGGGTATAGTTTCAGTCACTTCAGCCTGATACAGTGGTATCTCAAGTAGTCCAACACCAGCTGAAATCCAGTGACTCCAGTGTAGTCTTCCTGACTCATCCCTTTGCTTTTTTTTTGCTGGCCTTCCTATCATGTGTCTTACTTTATTGAAACTGCTGTTTTGAGCTTGTGTTTCTGCATCGCTGATAGGCTTCAGAGTGTTTCAGGTGCTGCTGCTTATAAAGGTAGTCCTCTTCGCACCATGATTTGCTATGAACAGGAATAGATTCAACAGCAATATAGATGGCAATATGTATGCTTCTTCAGAAGGTTTCACAGAATGATGGCTTCTGTAAAGCATAGGAGGTGCTTCCTGAAGTAATTTTAGCACTTACATAGTTATATGTAGATTTTCTCTATCAGATCAGTGTATTTTCCCAAGGATGCAACCAACTTTCCAGGCAATGCCATTCCAGCAGATGGCTGAGAGGGCAAGTAGCAAAGGAAAAGTTCATATCAAGACTACTTACTGAAGGTGTATTTCCCACTGGGAATTTCTCAGCATGTGCCACCCACAGTTCAAGGGGGTATGGCACTACTAATGCAAGTCTGAAGCAGATCTACTATCTAGAGGCAAAATCAACATTTTATGGTCTCATGGCCCTGATGACAGTCTGGGAACCTAGACCATATCTGTGCAATACACTCAGCCTTGTCAATAGGACCCCCCCCCCCTTACCTTTCTGATTATCTACCCCATGTCTCAATTTCTAGACCAGATGTATTATTTTGCAGTTATATTCTGATTGAAGTTAAACAACAAGAATAAATTAAGAAGTGTGGTGAGCTGAAGAGTTTTCACTTTAACAGTATTTTAATAATCAGGAAAGTCACCCATGTATAGTAATGATAAATTGCTTTGCTACAGGGTAATATAAACTTTAACAAGTATAATAAATATTTCTGCTTGGCCAAGAAAACAGAAATACTGGAAACTGTTTAAATATGTGCATCAGAATGAATGAAGATAAAAAACTGGTGAATATTTTAAAAGTGGCATATGTTCGTGTAAATCAAATCTCAGCCTGTCTTTATAAAAATGGGAATTTGGGACAGTGATGTGTTTAGCTGAAATCAGTGAGATTTTGGTGTCACATAGCTACAAAACTCAGATTTATTTCTTTTCATATTGCTGTTCAGTAAAATGGGATTTGGCCTGTGCTTAAGCCACGACAGGATTAAAACACTGCAGGTTATAAGAAAGGTGTCTATCTTAGATTTTTAAGCTAAAGATTTGTTTGTGGCAGACTATGTTGTTCAGTAAATAAAACTACCTTTTTTTCCATAGAAAATTTCCTTTTCTGAAAGTAACAGGTGCGATCTATACCAAAGGCAGTATATATCAGTGATGCTGAGACCGAACGAGATTTTTATAACAGCCCTGAAAAGTTAGTTTACCCATTTCCCATCAACAGCTAAGGGCTGAGGTAACTTAATATCAGGGGATTGTAAGCCTGGAGTAGCTTGTCTGTATGAAGATACAGGTAATAAAAATAGTAAAAGGTAATAATTTAGGCCCTTTCATCCCATTTGTGATTACTGGAAAGTTAACAGCGACCAGAGGGAGAGCTTTGGACTGCTTGAAAACTGGGGTTTCAAGCTTGTTTCAAGCTCTGCTTTCAGTGCTTGTGACACCAGCCTTTCACTCATTCTGTAGAGAACACTTTCTAACTTTATTCAGTTTTTTTTCCAAAGTTATTGTTTTTCTCTCCCGCTAAGAAATGTCTAACTTCAGTCAGAGCATCCAGCTGCAATAGCCTGCTTTTCATCTGTCTTTTTTCCCCATTGATATTGCCAGTTCAACCTGAGCAGTCCTTTATATCAGGAGTGTTTTATCCAGGGTTTCCCAATATTTCAGAGAGAGATAGTTTTTAATATGACTTTAGTATAAATGCCTGGGCAGTCCTGCATCTCTCTGTGTATGTTTCCAACATGTTTTTCTCTTTACTGAGTAGTACTGATATTTCCTGTGTCCCTTTTCTGTTTTCCTTTGTTGGCAGGAGTGCTAGGGCAGGGGGAAGTTAGGCTGCTTTCCACTTTCTGCTTCTATTTTTATTTCTTCATTATCTTTTTCCTTCTCATTTCTCTTTGCTTCCCAGCTATGTCTCAACAGGAGTGACAAGGCATCACTGAGGGTAGATGTCACCAGTATTTACACTTCCTCTGTGAGGGACAAATGTCATGGAAACAGGTGCAGAATAATCTTCTGACAACACCATAATCCCTATTGTGGCAGATTATTGCAAGGTCAAATTATAACAAAGAATGTATCTAACTTCCAGATCTAGCCCTGGAGAAGAGCTGCATAATTCACCCAATCATTGCTATAAGAAAAGCTGGAAACTTGAAGTTGACCTTTTGATCTTCAGGCTATAAGTTTAAAATTAAATCCCACTGATTGTCTCCTCCAATTTTATTTTATATTCTTTTCTGTGTTCTCTGATGTGTGGATATAACCTCTGGAGGTGCAGTTCATGCCAGGAAGAAGCGTTCTGTCTTTGCATCAAATAAAGAGAGGATGTTGTGCTTCACAAAGGTATGGGATATTGCTCTGTTTTGTTCACTGCACTGTCTTGTCCTGACTTTTCAACTCTGGTGAATAATTTCATTCTGATTTGTGTAAACACTGTGGACAAAAATTATTTTCTGAGGCACAGCAGTTTTCTAATTCCTGTGTGGCTGCTGTGTGGTTTTATAGCAGACATTTCAAAAGACAGGCACTCAGATCGTGGTGGATAGAAATAAAAGGTTTATATGCTGAGGTGAGCAACCAGAATGAAATGGCATCGCAGCCATGAACACAGGCTGTCTGCGCTGACTCCCTTTTTATAACTGTTTTGAGTAGACAGTGCTCAATATCTTGTGTAACTCAAATTGACTTATGTGTATGAAAGAGCCTATTCAGGAGTCTAATATAACAATAAAGATGATTAAATGAAATACTGCAACCCATTCACTCCTTCATGTTGTAATAGTACACATAGACATGAAGCTTGATTATCAGGGATGTTCAAGAGGTACTTAGAGCAGCTGTAAAATTATCTGTGCATGCCACTGATGTTACTGGGACCAAACCAGCTCCCGCTTCATCTCCAGGCACCCTGAAGGTGGCTGCAGAGTGAGCCAGGAGGTCCTGCCAGGTGTGGCTTAGTTTTAGTGTCTGCTTCTGTCCCTGTCCTCTCCAACAGCAGAGATTACTCACCTCTCTCCTGCTGCATGCCTGGGGAGCAGTGGTACCTAAAGTCAGTGTCCACCTATAGGTGAATTTGGGTTTAAGACAGATTCATGAATCTATACCAGAATAAAGGAGATTTCCTAAGAATGCTAAATGTAGCTTTTTCTGTTGAGAGGAGAAAATTATTTTTTGAAGTTCTCACATGGCATAGAACATAAGGATCTCTTGTATTTTTTCTTAGGCAACCTATTGAATTCATTGCTCAGAACATCCTGCTGGAAGTGAGGCAGGTCAGAAGCTGTTCTGTCTAGAAAGGGCGTGTGATGAGTTTTATAACTGTTTTTCTGCTTGAAGTGGCCATTTTGTTAACATTGCTGACATAAATACTGCTGGTATTCTTGCATGGCATAGCACAAGCATTTCCTAACAGGGCAGTAACAGATACTGACAAAAAGGAATTTGCAACGACCACCACCCGTGTTGGGAGTTTCATGTCCCTTCTCCTTGATTTGCACAGGAGAATCATGCAGTCAGTGGGGAGTAATTAGGATTGATTTCTGCTGTCTCAGTCGCACACATGGATTCTTCTATAATTGAGAGAGATTTCACTGATAGAATTGAGCTGATTAGCCTGAACAAAGTAATGTTGCATCCACATGCATCCTGCCTCCGTGTAATTATAATTGTTAGTCTTCCAAGAACAACTGAGAGCAGAACACTGTGAACTAAAGAACTCTATAGATATGTAGTAGGAGATACTTCCATCTCCAATGTACTTCCAGTCTAAATGGAAAATTAAAACGTAAGAAGGAAGTAGTTTGCTTGAGATTATGTGGCACGGTAGTGACAATGCTCAGTAGAATAGAAATGTCCAGGGTCTCTGATCCTGCATTTTATCCACTGGATCAAATCCAGTGTCTTTTCAAGCTACTGTAGTACAGGCACCTTTATATTTGTTTAATAGGCTCTGTGACTTTAAAAGCAAAAATAAATCTTCTGGTATGTAAAGGGAGACTGAAAGGATATAAAACACTGCTGCAGGCGCATCCATCCCTCCATGATATCACCACTGTTTTAAAACCAGCAAATTGTCAATGGATACATAATGGAAACCTTCTCACACAAGCACATGCACACACAGAATTGATATTTGTTTACAATTTACTGCTTAGGAAGACGCTAGCAAAGCTCCTTCTTTTTCCTGAACAGTGCTGCCCCTCCTCAGTCCTGGACAGGTAAAATCCCATTGCAAATCTCCTTAAAAGAAAGATTTATCTTTTCTTCTTCACGATTTATTGAGGTATTTGACAGGTTTCCTGTGAAAGGAGCTCTGCCATCCCCCATTTACATAAGCTCCTTATGTCAGACAATACCTTTGTTTGTTTCTGAATACACCATGTATTTGTCTTCCATGTTTAAATTTGGATTCACATTTAGGGATGACAAAAGGGATTGAAATTAAGCGGTTCCTGAGTTAACTGCAGCACCTTCTTTCAATTAGGTATTCATACATTATAATAATCCTTATTTTGAAGATTATTCCACTATGTAAATGAAAGATTATAAGCAAGAATGCCCAAGAACAGCACCTCTCCCCTACCCAATTACTGATTTACCCTCTATTTTCACGCAACACCTTTTGACCTACTTGGATCTAGTTCCGCCTTTACCTCACTAAGTCTCCCAAATGCTGCACAGTGATAAAATCAGTGTCAAGACATTTTTTAAAACAGGGCTTTTTTTTGCTTTTTTTTTTTTTTGACAAAATGTTTTGTTCATCAGCACCAGGGATACAAAATTCAGTATCATGAACTGCTAGAGCAAGTTATATAATGAGCAGCTGAAGGGATGGTATATGGTTCCCTGAGAACATTTTATTTTATCAGTATTTTCTGGAAAATGGTCTCACTGAATTTACTCTCAATAGAAAAAGGGGTTTACATGCAACACTAGTCTGTGTATCCATTTTAGTTTAAGTCTGATTAATCAAGGCAAAAGTATATATTTGTTAGAAGACACTACCTAGTACTCATGGCCTCGTAGAGCCCTGTGGAAGGGAATAATGCCCTGCATTGTCTTGTCTTTCTCCTTTGCCAATTTCTTTCTTTTCTGCATTCAAATAGCTTTTGTTGGTGCAGCTGTAAACTCGAGACTGCCTTTTCATCTATTGATCGATGCATATGAGGCTCTATGTGTTGGATAGCAATGTACTGCCCTGAAGTAGAAAAAAATAGTAAATACATGGTACATGTTCAAGTTGAAGATACTTCCTCATGGCAGCTGAGGGGTGAGTTTGTGTGAGGAAGACTTCAGGAGGCACATAAGACTGGTCTCTTCTAAGTGTCTTGCTGACCTGCTGAGTGGTTGAGTGTCCCTGGCATCTGCTGCAGGTTGGTGGTGAGATATTTCTTCTATGTCCTTAGACATGCTGTCAGAAAGACTCAGGTCACTTTGCATAATCAGTGAAATGAAGAGCTATGGAATTAGGAAACATCGCACATTGATAAAATACTGCCTCATCTTGTGCACAGCTTTGCTTTCCCAGTCTTTGGCACTTTTTCTCAATACCTGTTTGTCAGCTTCATCTGTTTTAATTCATTCCATTACTCCAAAACTGCAGCAGCTGAAACACCGATTTCTCCAATTAGTGCAATCTTGATCCTGCATGATGGTCTTTTCTCCAAGATGCTGCCTGCTCTGAGAAGTGCACTTTCAAGAGAACTGGTTCTTCAGTTTAGTTCAGGCTAACTGAAGGCAATGTAACTTTCATGAGCAAATACTGATGGAAAAATACTACATGATTTCCTTTTCAGACAGAGGAAATAAGGTAGGGTCGGACTGTAGAATACCAGATTTTACCTTTTCTGTACTGAAATTTGAGATCTCATATGCTATTAGCCAATAAAAAACTGTCTATTCATCACAGGGTTTTTTCTGTTGCTTGTACCATAATGTTTTTCTTGTGCATTTGGTAGTCATAGTAATGATCTTTGCTCATTACACCAAATCTTTGTATCTTCTCAGGAATGAGATCACTGCTGGGGGAAAGAGCTTGTGTATCTTGTAGGTAAGGACAGAAGAAGCTGGCAGCATCTAATCTTTGTGAAGGAAAGGACATCTTTATGTCTTGTTTTGTGCCCACAAGAGTTTTCTGTCACTGATATCTACACTAAAGGTATAACACGTGTGGGTTGGTTTATTTAGGGAGCCCCTCAAATGACAGTAATCCAGACTGCAAGCCTGTGTCTCCTGTTTGTAAGACTCCTTACACAAGCTGTCCCTTCCACTAGAGTAAGAAGGGGGTTTGGTTTTATCTACACAAGACAGCTCACTGCAGCACAAAGCTAGCCTTGAAACCAGCTTCAGATCGAAAGAGCAGTGTTCGATACAATCCTGGGATCATTTCATGGACCCGAACACATGGCTGTGGTACTTCCAAAAGCAATTTATACGCCTGTGTGTCACTGCAGTACCGTTCATTTGACTGGACAGCCTTGGCATGGTCACACATCTTCCAGGTTTGGTCAAGCCCCCTCTTTCCCAGGGCATGAAGCTTGCTGATTTGAATTCGGAGATTATCACAGGCAACAGTAAATAAATACCGGTTTGTGGTCAGTCTACCACTAGTAGACCGCTCTGGTTGTTCCACTGCTGTGGGGGAGATCGTGGTGCTATGGCACCAGGAGAGGGCACCAGAAGATCTGACTCCATCCCAGTGCACCTCAGGATAGGAAGTGTAAGGGAAGAAGTTTCCTACAATGCAACTGTTTCTTTCCTGGACATATTCCTTTGTCCCCAGGTTCAGAGATACCTCATGGTCTAACTTGGAAAGACTGAGGTTTTACCTATGACAGCACCCTGTGTGAGTTCAATTCTTCTACTGGCAGTACTGAATGGGCAAATATTCGCATACAGAATGACATTCAGAGCTGGCATTATGTGGTGCATTGATTAGCAGCTTCAGCAAAGAGCTGAAAATATACTTGGAAGAAAAAGAGAACTGCAGACAATCTCGCTTTTACTACAAAGGTGTGAGGTTCATTAGTGAAACAGTGTTGGAGAATTTTTCTTTCCTCTTTCTTCCTGTGGAGACTCTGTGAATTGGCTTGTGATGGTTTTGTTCCATGCTTAAATATTGCTGCCTAATTTACAGACTTTGCATAGTCTTAGGCAGACTGCGCAGCTGAATAAATAGAGAGGGA